GTGTATAGGGCAGGAAGAGAGCACTTGCTCCCCAGGAAATGGACGTACGTACAGGGAGGTATGAGGTGCCCGATGCTGCTGCAGGAGTAGCAAGCACTCTTAACGGCAGCACCTCCTCTCCAGCTCCTAATTTTATTCTAGTTCTCAGTGACCTCACCCTCCTTCCTACGGGCCAGTAACCCCGGTGAATGCAGCAGTGAGCAAAAGAGACCTCATCTCAAACAAGGTGGAAGGTGTGAGAACTGACACCATAGGTTCTCCTCCGGCCATGCATGCATGCATGCTATGGCAATACTCACCTCTAACACACACACATACTTAGATGACACACACAGAGCACATACATTCAAACACACACACACACATAACACACACTCACGAAACACACATACAACACACACTCAACATAAACTCACATAACATAAACTCACACACGATACACACTCAAGCACACACACTCAATACACACGTACACACCCCCACATCAACTTAAAATGTTTATTTTTAAGGCAATGAATCATTGTTTTGGTGATCATGTTCACAGAGTAAGGCGTGTGAGAAGACAATCCCTGTGTCACAGAAGACATAGAATGAACCATTTTTCTTCTGCCTGGATTCTATGCCATATCTTTTAGGACTCAACAAAAGCCCAAATGTGTAGCATAACCCCTTGCCAGGTTTTGAATTTCAATGTCTATCAGAGGTCCACTTTAGATTTTTAACTGTGTTACAAGAACAGTAAAGCCCTTCAAGGGTAAAAGCCGAGTGTGTCTTTGCTGTCTTTGTCAGAACCACTGCACTGCAGATCTCCACTCTTTGTCGGCTCTGGTGACAGGACACTGATCTTCCTTAAATTTTTGTTTTATTTTTAATTACGAACATATTATTTTAGTTATGTGCATGTGTGTGCAGCTGCCCGAGAAGGCTAGAGATATTGGGTCCCCGGGAGCTGTAGTTATAGGCAGTTGTGAGCTGCCTGACATAGATCCTGAAAACCAAATTTGGGTCCTATGCAAGCACTCTTAACCACTGAGCCATTCTGCCATTCTGCCAAGCCATCATATAGATTTTAAAAGTATTTCTGTTCAGGTTTTTAGTAAGAGAGTTAGCCCAAGTCATCAAGACTGATTAGGTCAGAAATCTCTAGGAATAAAGTTGTTCCATGCTGTTACATGTAAGTGAAGCTAAGCAACGCTGAACAAATTTTTAAACACAGATGCATGCACAGAGTTTAAAATGGCAATTTCTTCCTCTATACCATATCTGTCTAATCTCTAGCTCTCTGCAAAAAAAAAAACAAAAAACAAAAAACAAAAAACAACCAGCCAACTAACCAAACAAGCAAAACCTTCCTTTTGTTGCCATACATCTTTTCACTGTTTTCTCTATACAATTCCAAACATGTATTTGTCCAAATATAGATTTTTTTTTTACTTTTTTGAGGCAGAATCACCTGTAGCTCGGGTTACATGAGTCCCTTTGTAGAAGATCATCTTGAACTCCTGACCTTCTTGTCTCCCAAGAGTTAGCATGCCTGCTTTAACACGTATCTTAAGGGGGTATAAATTGGTCCATGCTGCAGTTTGTTCCTCTTGGTTACTCCTTTAAATAGCTACCAACTTTGCTTAACTCCATAAGAAACAATAGTAGCTAACATTTTAAAGAGCTTCCTCTGTAACAGTCAAAGGGGATTAATCCACCTATTAATTAGTTCACTGCAACAAATTAATACTTTGTGAACTAGGTTTTATGATGAATGGAATATAGCTACATAAAGACACCAAGCATAATGGATGGAGTTTATTAAGCCTGATACAGAGTTTTTTTTTGGGGGGGGGGAAGCAAGGTCTTTCTACATAGCTGCTCACTGTCATAGAATTTGCTATCTAGATCATTCTCTGAGGCCACCAACTTGCTGTTGGCCTAAAACTCACAGAAATCCACCTGCCTCTGAGTGCTGGGATTAAAGGTATGCACCACCATTCCTGGCCAACCGTTCTTAGTATTTCTGAAATGTGTCCTCTAAGAAGTCAAAACTAGAGATAGAACTGGAGAGGCGACTCAGTGTTTATGAGCACTTGTTGCTCTCATAGAGGACTGGAATTCAGTTCCAAGATCCTACATCAGGTACTTCAAACTGCCTTGTAGCTACATATTCAATGGTCTGACTCTCTGTTTTCATCTTTCAAATCCTGCACTCATGTTTACATACCCACACTATGTACATAATTAAAATAAATTTTCTTTAAATGTACCAATATCCCTTATACTAATGACTTTCTCATTGTTCTATGACTGTGAAAGGTCCACTCTGTATTGATCTCTTAACTTCCCGTGAGTCTATACTTGTGTTTTTAAATAAAAGGCCACAAAACATTTACTTTCTGCAGAGAAAATTTTAGAGATGGAGCACAGATTAGTGTTTGTCAAATGTGACTGAAGATGGAACATTACGTGTGTTTTGCAAGTGGACAGCACAGGAGAGCTTGACTGTAATGGTTGTGTAGCAACTCACACCTGGTAAATTACACAGAGAAGCATACCGAGGAGCGCGTGGAGTTGTTGGAATCTGGAAAAGCTCTCTGGGGTGTATGAAGGCCAGTTTCCTGGTTTTGATCATGTAGATATATAAGCATTGTAGGGAAAAGGGACCAGTCAAAGAAACACACCCTGAGCAGAGCCAAAGAAACACACTTTGGCCCTGCAACCACAACCAAAGAAATGTACCCTGACCCTAAAACCAGTGCCAAGAGAACACACTTTGTCCCTGGAATCAGAGTCAGTGAAAGAAATGTACCCTGGCCCTAAAATTGGAGCCAAAAGGCTAAAAAGGACCAGAGAAAGAAACACACTTTGGCCCTGAAACCAGAGCCAAATCTGACCCTAATCCTGTGTAAAAAAGTAACCAATCCCGGAGCAGAGCTCTAGCCAATCTGAGCTCAGCACTGAAATCGGACCAATCCCTACTCTGGAAAAACTTCCCCAATCCCTATATAAACCCTGTGTATGTTCAGCTTGGCTGGTCCAGCTGCCTTCCAATAAACCCCTTTGGATGAGCTTCAGGGGAAGATCTTCTTTTGTGGCGGCGACAGAGCAGAGGCGACCCTGGGCAGAGCAGAGCGAGCAGAGGCGACCCTGGGCAGAGCAGAGCAGAGCAGAGCGAGCAGCGCTGTAACACTTGCCGGGGAAACCTTCCTTGGTAGAGCGGAGTTGTTACACTCTGCTCCAGGCTCCCTGCTCTCTGCTCTTCGCTCTCCAGGAGCAGAGCTGAACTGTAGCAACTTCGCCCGAGAAACCTCCTGCGGAGCAAAACTGCTACACTAGGCGAACATCCCCAGCTGGAAGACCCTGTCTTGCCGGAGCGGAGCTGATACACCGGAGAAGCCTTTCTCTGAGGCAAGGCTGTAAGCTGCCAAGCTTACTGCAACCTGTGGTGGTCCTTGGCTCCCGAGCTCCAGGATACCTTTCTACCTGAGCTGTGTAACACTCAGTATCCTTGGCTCCCAAGCTCCAGGATACCTTTCTACCTGAGCTGTGTTCTCTGAGGCAAGGCTGTAAGCTGCCAAGCTTACTGCAACCTGTGGTGGTCCTTGGCTCCCGAGCTCCAGGATACCTTTCTACCTGAGCTGTGTAACACTCAGTATCCTTGGCTCCCGAGCTCCAGGATACCTTTCCACCTGAGCTGTGTAACACTGAGTATTCTGTGACTCCCGAGTGCCAGAATACCTGACCCACTCCTGTTCCATCCTGTCCTGACCCATCCCGACGAAACGCTTACAAGCATTACCATCATACTGAACCAGGGAAAATGGGTCCTTTCTCTCCCTGTAATTTGGAGACTTCCCATGAATCTATGATTATAACAAATTAATAAAATGGGAGTAAATGTTTAACAAGAATAATCAAACACCTCTCAAAAACATCTTCTGGCAAACTCTGGTTTGTCGTCATATGTACAATAAGTGCATAGAGAAAATAATTTTGGCCAAGAGTTCCCCCCCAATAGATAAAACCTTTTAAGAGTGGCTAATATGGGAGAAAACAGAGGAGGAGAGGAATGAATACCAACTACTTCCAGAAATCAACTAAAATCTAGGATTTTGAATCGAGAGAAATGAGTTTCCCTCTTTTGTGATGTTCCTTTTTCTTTTTAAAGTTGATTTCACCAATTATAAGATCCTTCCCAATGGAAAATGGTATCAAATAAAAAATACATGTGAAGTAATAATAGCTATAATGCACCTGCCTGTTAGTTCCCATCTGGCTCCATTTTAAGTTATTACACCTATAAACAAATTCTAATCTGAGAACACATTGCTGCAGATTTTTAAGATTCCCATTCTACTGATGAGGACAAAGACTTGTTTCACAGGCAATAATGTTGCACCAGGTTACATATAACTTTTCTACAGCTCAACTTCAAAAATATTTGAGCCATGTCTCTGGACTCCTACATTTTTTTAAATTAAACTGAATTACCATAGTTCTTGCTGTTAGTATTGCTTGATGGAGTGGTTTCTCCACTCACTGTCTTATTTGCCCATAACCTGTATTTTGTTTACAAAGCTGGGGGAAAGGAAGAAACAATAACATTGGAAAATTGTAATTTCTTTGTCAACTTAAGCAACTTAGTAGGACTGTTTCAAATTTTAAAGGAAGAGCTAGGGATGTGTCTTTGGGATGTCCAGGCTGTGCAAAATGCTAGGTTCAAAGTCAACGACCAAACCGAAATTATTTTGTTTTTGTCGAGACAGGATTTCTCTAAATAGCCTTGACTGTCCTGGAACTCGCTCTGTAGACAGTCTACAGTTTGAGCTCAGAGATCCGATGAGCAGCACATATGTAAGTCCATCTTCCCTATCCTTCAGGCCAGGTCTCCCGGGCAAGCAGAACTTGGGGTGGGGGGAGCCAGGGCGCTCAGGCCTGGGGGGCGGGGCCGAAGTCTGGAATCCCAGGACTTCCTGGAGGGGGTTGGGAGCACGTGGATGTCCCTGTGCTGCCACTTCCGGCAGTTAGCATGCGGTGGCACGTGGGCTCCCGCCTCGTTCTAGGCAGCTTTTGAGGCCTGTTAGAATTTTCAAAGTCCTTCGTGATGGCTTCTCGGTACGACAGGGCAATCACCGTCTTCTCCCCTGATGGACACCTTTTCCAAGTGGAGTATGCCCAGGAAGCCGTGAAGAAAGGCTCCACCGCGGTAAGCTGCTCCCCGGGGATGCCGCTGCTCCCCACCTCCCCCTCCCCCACCCCACCCCACCCCACCCCAGGCTGTCGCTGCTCCTGTCCCCGGCCCCAGTCACTGGTTCCTGGAGCAGACCCAGCTTCAGGTTGGTGATGGAGGTTAACACAGTGAAACCAGTAGACAGGTCGGCCCTTTCTCCCCTGCAGCTGCCATTGTTTAACGACAGCTGCAGACGCTGTAAAAGTGCATGTGTGCAGTTAGTCACCGTTAAAGACACCTAGAACATTCCGCCTCACTGCTCATGGCCCACTTCCTCAGGAACCTGCTGACCCATGGTAAAGTTAATCTTTCATGTTAATCTTTCATTGTTTAATATTGATAAAAGTTAAAGCCTGTCCAGGCCTATTACCACCCCCCCCCACCACATTCAAACACTGACTTTGTGTTAGTGAGAGGAACAGTTAGAAATACTAATCCATTGTCACAGATTTCAACCTTAGCATTTGACACCCTTTCAAAGTTCCCAACCCCCGAGAATCCTCACTTTTGTACCACTCTGCGCCTCTGAGTGTGTGTGTGTGTGTTCAAGTAATGCTGGAAATTTCATGAGTCTACTGTTTTAGACTTATGGATCCACATTATCTAAAATACTCAGGGCAGCTGTAATACTACTGCCAAATTTTAACTGAGTTCAATAATCATCATAATTTATGAAAAATTTAAAGGACAAAAGTGCCCCAGTGACCAAAGATCTATTACCTGCAGACTTCCGAGTCCTGATCTACGAGTGCAGGATATGGTTTTTTTTAAAACCTCTCAAATTTCATGAGAATTCTCACTGTGTTTTGGAAATTGAGACAGTAGCAATGAGAACATACAGAACATCTCAGTCTACAAATGTCTGCTTCCTTCCCTTCCACTCCTATACCAACTTGATAATGGAAAGAAGTTAATTCACTTTAATTGTTAATCTATCACATGTAAAGTGGCAAAAATAACTACCAAGAAGATAATTTTTAAGAGTATTGTTTTGTTTAAATGGACCCACTAGTTAAGCTCTGTTAGAATTGTAAGTTTAAAGAAAGCCTGGTGTAGTCTAAACCAAAAGGGTACCATTTTGATAAAAACAAAAAGTTATATAGTCCCCAGCATGGTGTGTAGCATATGGTTAGAAAATAATGCCCAAGTTTTAGAGCCTAAAATAAAGGGAGTAATGGGAGAAGGTGGGGGTGTAATAGGAAACCACACTGACTCATTTAGAATGTTTTAAGAATGCTATAGAACTGATTGATAGTCCCTTTGTATGAGCTGTAAAGGGTGAGGACATAAAAATACCTGTAGTGGGCATGTTTAAAGAAGGGAAGGATGAGACTCTTACCTGAAATTCTATTTGCATCTTTTTACGGAGTTACTCACTGTGTTTCCTTGCTGATGCTATGACCTTTTACACAGGATAAAACTGCATTTGTTTGTTAAAATAGATGGTTAAATATTATGTCTTTAATAAGCAGCAGATACGATGAATTACAAGTAAGCTAGACATAGCAGTTTTGACCACTGTGTAGACATGATGTTACTTAGTAATAAAAAAAATTATGTGGGCCATAATTGGAGAGCTCAGGCTCTGCTTCCTGCTTGATAATTACCTAACACCATGAAATGGAGCCAGAAGGCTTTTTCTTTCTGGTTATGTTTCCTTTTCTATAAAGGCAAAATATGTTTGGATGGCATTTTGGAAAAGTGCCACCATCTTAAGAGAACATGTGAACCACAATGCTGTTGTGAAAAGGTTAAGATTTATTCTCATTATTGTCTTATCCTTTCTCTGACCCCAGATTCTTCCTGGGGCTGTATTTACTAGATCTCAGCACTGTAGTCTTAACTTTCAAAGTTTTCCTTGGTCATCACCTACCTCTTTAATTAAGGTTTCACTAATACCTATTTCTGCCACTTGTTTTTTTAAGACAAGGCTTCTCTTTGTAGCTATGGCTGTCCTGGATCTCGCTCTGTAGACTAGACTGGCCTCGAACTCAAAGATCCACCTGCCTTTGCTTGGATTAAAGGTGTGTACCACTACTGTCTGTATTTTACTTTTCTTTAATGTTGATTTGTGTCTTTTGTTCCTCAGTGTTGAAAATCAAGCCAAGGACCACATACTTGTTGCATGCATCCTCTACTGTTGAACAATACCCTTACTTATCTTTTAAGAATATTCATGCCAGGCGGTGGTGGTGCACACCTAGTTCAAGACCAGCCTGGTCTACAAGAGCTAGTTCCAGGATAGGGCTTCAAAGCTACACAGAGAAACCCTGTATTGAAAAACTAAAAAAAAAAGAAGAAAAGAAAAGAAAAAGAATCTTCATACTTAGGCTGAGAAAGAGCTCAGTGGGTAAAATGCTTGCTGTGTAAGCATAAGGACCAGAGTTCAGTCTCTAGGACCTGTGTCTAGGTAAAACACAGAGTGGTGGCACATGTTTGTGCTCAGAGAGGAAGCAGGAGGGGCCCTGGGGCTTACTGGCCTGCCATCCTAGCCTACTGTGTTGGTGCTGGGGACCAAATCTGAGCCCTCTGCAAGATCAACAATAAGTGTTTTTAACTACCAAGCCATTTCCTTATAATATAGGTTCTTTCTTTATCCTTTGTTTAATTATCATTTAAGATTTGTATTATTTCTGCGTTTGAGTGTGTGTGCCTTCATAAGTTTATGTGCAACATGTGTGTGTCGGTGCCCTCAGAGATCAGAAGAGGGCATACGATCCTGTGAAGCTGGAGTTACAGGCAGTTGTGAGCTGCCTGATGTGGGTGTTGGGAACCAAACCTGACTCCTCTGTGAGAGCACTTAGCGCTCTCAACTTCTTAGTCATCTCTCCAGCCCCCTAGTAGATTTTTGTTGTTGATGTGGGTTTTTTAGTAGTAGTAAAATAAATATCAAAATAGCCCCCGCTTCATAGGATTGATGTGTATTGAAAGAAGTTAAACATGCTAAGATATAGTTCACATAAATCAGTAACTTGTATCCATTATTATTTATGATTCTTTTCTTTTTGATTCGGTTTTGTCTGTGGTCCTTCTAGATTGCCAGTTTTTAAGACCTTTTAAAAAACTTACATATGCTAACTTGGGCTGTAGGATTTCACTGTGAAGGTGATACACTTCAATCTCCATTCTCAAAGAATTTACCTTCTTGCAAGAAATTTAGAGGATTGATAAAATAGTCCTACTTGGGAATGCTGGCACGTTCCAGTAAATCCAACACTCAGGAAGCAGAAGCTGGAATACTGTAGGTCCTAGGCCAGCTTGGGCTATGTAGAGAGATACTGTGTTAAAAAAGAAATGAATGGGGGCTGGAGAGGTTAAGAGCACTTGCTGCCCTTCCAGAGGTTCTGAGTTCAATTCCCAGCACCCACATAGTGGCTCACAACCATCTATAATGAGATCTGATGTTCTCTTCTGCCTCCAGACATAACTGTATGTATGGAGGAACACTGTATGTAAAATAAATAAATAAATCTTTAAAAAAGGAGAAATTAATGTTATAATAGAGAATTATGAGATGTTACAGAAATTGCAATTGTAAGAGAAACCTCCTGAGAAAGCATATTTAAGAAACCATTGGAGGTGTGGAAGGCAGCCAAGAGAGGAAAGAAGGAAGAGAGTTTTAGTCAAAGGAAACACTGTATGAGAAGACAAGGCACACAAGACAGCTATATTACAGAGTGGAAAGACATCCAGACTGCTGAGGAAATAACAGAAAGAGATGAAACTAGAAACCAAGGCCAAGTCACAGAGTACTTTAAGCTATTGTAGTGAGAATGTGCTTGATACTGAAAGGATTTTGGTGTGACTATTCTCACTTTTTAGGTTATTGCCATTTTCTTCTCAATGCAGCTGTATGTATCCACTCTGCTCTTGGTCACGGACTCAGTCCTGCCAATTCACTGCTAGGATACTGGTAACTCTCCTTCTCTGGGGACCTGATGGGATATGTGTCCCAAGATGCTGGTGGCTCTGTTTGTGTTCATCAAGAGGATGCCTGTCTGCTTCAGAACAAAGGACAGGTATTATGTACAGGGTGAATGTAACAGATCTTGGATCCTTGGGTCTCTGTGCTGTCCTGGTTTGCTTAGTGAGAAACTGCTCCTACCAATACAAAGTAGGAAGTAAAGAATGGTGACTTTTGGCTGGGTGGTGGTGGCACATGCCTTTAGTTCCAGCACTTGGGGGCAGAGGCAGGTGGATCTTTGTGAATTCGAGGCCAGCCTGGTCTACACAGTGAGTTCCCGGACAGTCAGAGTTACACAGAGAAACCCTTGCTTGAAAAATAACAACAAAAAGGAGTGGTAACTGAGATATACTCGCCTCCTTGTCTCTTCTTTTCTCCCTCTTCTCTCTCTTCCTCCCTTCCCCTCTCCTTCCCGCATTTTTCCCAAAGATTTCCCAGGCTACATTGTGAGCATCAGATTGAATGAAATCATAACTAAAAGAGAACAGTTACAGCTCTGTGACTATAGTATAGATAGCAGGTGTTGCTAGTGTTTACTAGGGCTGAAACAGAAACGGCAGTAAAGAAGACTCCAGGGAAACATGTTATGATGATCTCTTTGGTGTTGGCCAGGGAGGAGGAAGACCTAAGATGCTGCCTGCATCTCTGAGTGCAGCTGTAGTCGTCTAAGGATACGGAGCATGAATTCTGAGTGGGACTACAACCGACTTGGTGAGATTGAGGTGTGTCTGAAATCCCTCTAATCCTCACCTTCTAGTGTTCATGCACTGTATAGTGACCTCTTGGATGGATGATGCTAATGGCTTACTTCTAGTGAATGGACTGGATAAAAGTGATGGAATGCTACTCCGGAGACTAAGTGACAAAGAAAGGACTCCTTTTGCTTATCTTTCCTTGTCCTCTCTTGCTTTCTGTTGCTCACTGTTGGGAAGCCCATTTGCCATGTTGTGAGTGGACATACACAGCAGCCTCTATGGCAAGCGAACTCAGAAAAGCAGCTGTTTAAATAAAG